GAAAAATTCTCATGGTTTTTAGATTTCTTGAAAATGTTAGAGATCTTATATTCATAAGTTCTATCCCATTTCCCTTTTCTTTCACACTCAACAGTATTTGAAAGAGATTTGACTGTTTATAAATAGCTGCTACTTTCTTGAAGTTAACGTTCTTATAAATATCCTAAAATACTAACATGAACAACAGTATTTTTGCTTATAATGTGGTGTCCTTTCCAGAGTTTCACAACTATAGCAGAATGATAGTCTGTGGTGATGGCCTCTCTCTAAGGTTCTGATGTCCTACTAGTGTTTTGGCGCCTTATTTACCCTGTGGCTGAAACTGGGATTCTAACGTCAAAGTGCCTTAGCCTAGAGACACTTGCTATTATATACAGTGAAACCATGGCTTTTGAAAGAGAAGGAAGATGATAAGGAAGTGGACATGTCCTTAAGATAGCTTACATTATAAAAATAATGCAGAAATGTCCTCTGTTACATAGGAAGCAAGTTGTTGCTGAGACAGAGCAGAAAGCCATAAGATTCTCCCTTTTTTGGTTATTGAACAAATGTTAGTAGAATACACACTTTGTGTAAGGTCTTACCATATGGCTCCAGATAATTATAAAGCCTAGAGAAGTTTTGGACTATTTTCTTGAGAGAAAGAGTAAGATATAGTGGAAAGAGCATGAATATTAGAAACAGACCACTTAGGACTGCATTTATGCTACCAGTAATTAGTTGTATGAATTTAGGCAAGTAACTTAATTCTTACAGCTTCAGGTTTTTTTTTCCCCCTTGTTCTGAAGACTAATACCCGTTTTGTCTGGTAACTGGTACTGATACTAGATTTTTTAAAACACCTTTCTGTTGCATGAGATCAAAACCCTACTCACACTAGCTCAGGGCACCAGAATGAACAGGAATGTACTCTCTTCAGGTACGGATGGATTCAAGGGCTCAAACGATGTGCTCAGCAAACTCAGTGGCTTTCTCTTGTGTCAGATGTGCCTTCAGATAGGCTTTCTCCATGAGGAGCTCCCTGATGGCTCCAAGTTTATGTTCTTTCAATTTAGCAAGCCCAGCGTGAAAAGAGCTTCTCCTACTCATAGTTTTAGCAAAAGTCCTGGGATTACGTCTCTTGAATGAATTGGGTCATTTTCCATCCTTGATCATAGGGTCAGGAGAATAGTGTACAATGAGAGGCCAAACCTGAATCAGGTGCTAACTACTGGAATGAGGGATAGGAGGTGTGGTCAGCCATGTGCTCTAAACTATGTGGGTTGAGAGTCAGGCTGGGCGGTTTGCTGAAAGAGAAAGCAGGTATTGTGATCATGGGATTGGGGAGTGGATGCTGGATGAGCATAACCAACAGGTATTCACTGTAATCCTCCCAGTGTGCATCCATGTCCTCCCTTACATATATACCCTTGAAAAAATGCCCTCACCTGGCTTAACATAATCTTTCACTTAAAACTTCCAGTGCATTTACCACTTGACCCCCAACAAAGGAATACAACTCAAAGACTGGTTTAATTACTGCATTTAACTTTAAGTCTAGGATCCCTGGGTAATTTCTCTCAGTTCTGTTTGACAGCGTCAAGGAACTTAGGGTTAAATGATAAATATAACTAATTTTAATAAAACCAGTGTTAAGTGATAGAAGGAAAATAACATAAGGCCAAAAAAAATTCTTAGAGAAGAGAAAAAGGGGAAATAATCCACTGAGATTCTCCAATTCATGATATATTCATATTTCATTGGATAGGGAAGGCGAGGACTCTTTGCCTCAGCAGTGGAGTAAGATTTTTAATTAGCCAGTATGGCTGTCTCTTGTACTACCACCTGGGAAGATCTTTGTTGTTTTTCCTCCTGGTCACAGCCCAGGTGGGTATGAGAAGGATTCCCTTCCTGAGGACTGCACAGCTTCAACAGCCCGTTTGCTGTTGATGAGGGGTTGGAGTCCAGGGAAACAACTTAAGGGTTGAATAGTAACAAATCTTTGTTGGGAGTTTCTTAGGCAATACAACTTTCTTATAAACTTGATAAGTTTTTGATTTGTTTGCACTTGATCAACTTCTCCCAAGTGCCGAAGCCCAAATCCTAGTCCTTGAATCAAGCTGTCACCTGGTATGTCTCTAAACAACTTTGCCACCCTGACCTAGTGAGTGGTTCTCCAACAGAGGCTTTTTTTTTTTTTTATTTTAATCCTCAAGGATGTTTGGCAATGTCTGGAGACTTTACTATTGTTGCAAGGGGGTGTTGTGGGTTGGGTAGGCAGGTGTTACTGGCATATAGTAGGTTGTGCCCAAGGGTTCCGTTAAACATCCTGCAATGCACAGGACAGCCTCCCACAACAAAGAATTTTCCAGTTCAAAATGTCAGTAGTACTGAGGTTTGAAAACAAGCAAATCTTAGGCTTTTCAGTCTTCATCTTGGCCTGTCTCTAGGCCGTTCAGAGCAACTTCTTGAGGTAATTGCACAGCCAGTTTATCCCTGCTCCCAGGCTGTGAGCATGTTTTTTGCTACGATGCTTGGAGAGGAGCCTGGAGCATCAGGCTTTCTCCACCTTTTGTTAAAAAGACTCAAATTTTAGTGTAGAGATACCTGATTTTCAGTGATGTAAATTGCAAGATTATCAGCCACAGTGGATTGGTAGTTAATGTCTGAAAAGATTTTCCTCTTATTAAGACTTCGTTCACAGTGTGCTTCTTTTTTTAAGGACCTTACTGAAGACTGCTACATAGTGGGCAATATACTGACATCCTAACATTTTTATTAAGTACCCAACAGTTCCATCCTTAATAGGCACGTGGTCTGATTTGCAAGAGGTGAAACTTTACAAGGTGTTTTGCTTATTAAGGATTGCTGACTTCTCATCCTACAGTCGAGGGATACCAAATTCCCTTCATTTTCTGTTACTGATTCAATTAGTTGCACACTTTAGGGCTGTCATTTGTAATAGCTGATTTTCCAGAATCAATTTCTGTATTTGTTAGTCTTCTTTTGCATGCCAGTGATAGAAATCCAATTAAAAAAATCAGTCCTTCCTGTCTCTGTAATTGGCAATTTCATTTTTTATTTATGCTCAGACCCCAAACCTTGAAGTTATTCTTACTCTCTTTCTTTCACTTCCCCTACACAATCTTTCAGTATATTCTCTTGGCTTCAAAATATATCTGAAATCTGACCAGTTCTCACCATCTCTCTCTAATTGGGTCATCCTGGTCCAACACCATCTTTTTGCTCCTCTACATAATTCATAGCAAGTCTCCCTGAATACTGGTACTCTCGGAATATTAGCCTCTGCATATTAATGTCATTTTTTTGAAAAGCAACAGATCACATTTCTTTCTCAGAATCTCTCAGTGGTTTCCCATGTAACTCAGAGAACAAGGTCAAGTCCTTAAAATGAGCTAGTTTTGTAGTCCTGCTCTCCTTCTTTCCTACAGGATCTTTCTGTGAACTCAAATTTTACTGTTGTCTCCTCTCACTCCATGCAGGCCTTCTTGGTCTTCCTTAAAGAGGTATTTTGTACTTACTGTTCCCCCAGCCTGGGGAGTGCTCTTCTCCAGATATCCTTATGACTCGCTTTCTTACCTTCTCTAGGTCCTTCCTCTGTAAGGTCTTTGAGTGCCTAACATAAATCTGAATTCTCCTGCCTCTCCCATGCTTCTTACTACCTTTTCTTGTCTTTTTCTTCATTATAGCCCTTATCCTTTTCTTTCTTTTTTTTGTAGCCCTTAGCACCACTTAGCACTGTGTATTTTACTCATTTTGTATTTTGTTTCCTTTCTCTAGAATATAATCTCTGTGAGGGCAGGAATTTTTGTCTGTGTGTGTGTGTGTGTGTGTGTGTAGGAAAATGCACAACACATAGCTTAGTAGCCTCTCAGCAAATATTTGTTGAGTGAATTAATAAATAAGAAAAAATACTTTATTGCCTCATGTAACTTAACTCTGGAACACTGATGAGATGCATCAAGCAGATCTTCTTCAGGGGTGAGGGGGAAAGTGTCTTTAGGTTTATTACCCTAGAATTTAAGTCAATGTAAGTAAAAAATATAAATTAACATAAGACATAAGTTTTTTTTAAAAAAAGAATATAAATAAATGTTTTCCAGGGAAGGGAAGGAAAGGCCTTTATTTCTCTAAAGGTCCCTAGAGATCTCTGTCTTTAGGGAGACACTATCTAGTTTCTAAGACTGTCTGTTGTGGAAATATTCTTGTAGTACCTTTTGTTTAGAAGGCTCTGACTGTGCAGGAACCTGAGAAATCCAGAGAGAATTGTTTCCCAACAGTAATTGTAAATTCCAGCAGCTACATCTGTTCACACCTGAGAGATCTAGAGACAAAATGTTTTCAATGTTTTCCTTATTTCTCTTTTCATCTCGTTGTGCTGATTTTCTCTGGGTTGGCTCACTATCAAGTAGCAGCCTCAGCTAAATGTTCTCTTTCTGATTAGTTCCTGTAAAAATTTTGGGATTGAGCCTTATCTAGCCAGCTGGGTCATGTGCCCCTTCCTGAGCTATGTTTGGGGCAGAGGATATGCTGACTGTCCAGATCTGGACACTTGTTCCATCTGCACCTATTCCAGGAACTTTGTGCTTATTCCAAAACTTGAGAGTGGGAACAATTAATGCTACCCGAACTACAATGGTTGACAATAAGAGAAGGGTATTTCAATAGAAGAATATTGAGATGCTGCTACCAAAAGAAAGGGAGTGGAAAACAACACAGGTCTATCACTCACCCGTACATGCACTTCACAGTCTTTTTTTTTTTTTTTTTCATTTTTAAAGCTTAGAGTCTTATTGTATATGGGCATTCTTGCCTGATCTGTTTTTCACCTAACATCATATCATGAATAAGAAATTTTCTTTGAAAACATGATATTTAATTTAATTTAATTTTAATTTTATTAAAAAAATTTTTTTGCATACTTCAATGATTTTTATCTTTTGTCCTTCATTAACAGGGACCTTGTTTTACTGCCCTCCCCCAAAAAACCAGAAATGAGAAACAAGAGCCCAGTTTTTTTATTTGATCATTTCTTGCATTTGAAGTATTCCTCGATGACATCCTTGGCCTGAGACTCTTTGCCATAGTCCTTAACCACCACACAGCTGCAACCAGCCACTTTACGGGGTTTTCCCTCTCTGTCAGTTTTACAGAGGCCTACCCATTCCCCTAGCTTCTTGTTGTCATCAATCTTGATCAGGTTGATTTGGTGCTCAGCACAAAGAGCTTCCACCAACTTGACATACATAGGCTCATCACAGCTGGATGCAAGCACACAAAGATGGGCTTGGCACTTGTCTAAGGCTTTGGCAGCTTCGCGAATTCCACATGCTAGGCCATCATGGATGAGGGCGGTCTTCAGCATGAAATCCCAGTTGAATAGTTGTCTTTCTTGTTCTTAGGTCTTTGAAAATAACTGTTTCTATATACAGTGAGAGACCAAGATACGGACTTCTAGACAACTCTCAAGTTCCTTTGCTGATAGAAAGACTAAAATAATTTTAAATTAAACGATTGTCCAGTAATTTTGGAGTCTGTCTTTGAAGCGGAATTTAATAATGTATATACTGTATTTTAGGTACACATTCACTACATTTTGTTTCTTGAGAATCTTTATAAGTAATACTGTTTACTATAGTCTTGGTGGTTTAATTGAAGATATTTTATTGAAAGCAGTACAAAAGAGAAATCATGATTAAAATTTTCATATTTAACTATCATTTTAAGCCGCGAATTTTATTATTTAATATAACAACTCTTGTCAAAGTCTTAGTTTACACCAGTGTGCAAATCAGGGAAAGTCATAATTCACCTTAGAATTTCATCCATTCAGTAGTCATTTCTTTGGTTCCAGTTACTGTGTAGGATGCTGGCTATATTAACATAATAATCCCTGTCCTCAATCATGTCACAGTTTAGCGAAAGAAGAGGGATATAATAATACTTTCATTGTATGTAGATTAGGTTTCCAGCCAAATTCTAGCATTGAGAATCTTGCCAAATCTGGAAGAGAATAAAAAGCTTTGTCATTTCTGAAATGGATAAAAAGCTTAGAAAAGTAGGAGACTTGGAAGAAATTCTTGACACACTGTGTTTGATCAGTTTCCTGACCAGAAGGAAAAGAGTAATTTTATTTATTGGTCACATCTATGCAGCGTCCTCTGATTCCTGTGAAAGTCAAGGAAGCAGGGGAAATGACAGGAAACAGAATAGGCAAACAAAAAAAGAGGAGCTTGAAAGAGGAGAGCTGATTATAAACCAAGAAATTAGGATTAGAAGTTTGGGGGCATGAGGCAAAAAATAAGGAACTGTGACAGGCCTGTAAACTGCACATTTTGATATCAACTGTAAAGAAGAGAGCCAGTGACCAAGGAACATCCTAGAAATTATTCTGGCTTCAAGGAGTGAGGGAACAGCCAGTGCAAGAGCTGTGCTTCTGCAAACTAATCCTGCTAGACAGAGAGAGTGGGTGTTTGCCAGGAGAACCTTCCCAAACCTTCCCAGCCTTTGACAGAGTTTTTTCGTACAGAGTTAATTATTTCTTTAGGTGGTAATATTTTAACGTATTATATTTAAAATATTTAAAATTTTGCTTCTGTTGAGCTTCATACTAGAAATTAGTTTCATGCTGTGAAAATGGAGAAAAACATGAATTACCTCTTGGACAGTGAGGAAGTAGGTTAGGGAGAAGATAAAATACAGGACTCATTGGGAAAGTTGTGGGAAGAAAGGGGAGCGAGTTAGCAGGGGATGGACAAGTTAGGTAAGTAGAGGATTCTTATTTTGAATGTGGTGAAGTGATAAACAGCTGACATTGATTTCCAGTGGGAGCATCCTCTACCCCATGTGTCCATTTTTACCTTTTTCTCAGTAGTGAACAGTTCTGACTCCTTGAATTTCTTCTTGCAGCTTGTGTTTTCTGCCTAGACCTATGATCATTCCTGTGAGACCTCACTGCACGCTTTCTCAAGTGTCTTCCTCATCCCTAACGTGTAATCCTTCAACATGGACCTGCTACTTTAGCTAAGATATGACCAGCAATGAATAGTAGTAAGGTAGGATTACTTTACTCTTCTTAGTAAATTACTAAAAAATTATATATATCTGTATATTTTTTTTCTGAAACTGTAAAAAGTTTTGACTTGTCTTAATTTTGTGTGTTCTTTATGTTAGATTATTTCCCTACCTAGGCAGTCTACCTTCATTTTACATTTATGTTATTTATTTTTTGCTTGGCACTTACTCTACTGAACTCTATTCCATTTGTTATGTACTTATTATTTTTTTCAACTAACACTTAAAATCAGCAGAATCCCAATATATATGTGTCTTTTCCCACTTGTGCACCTACCAGTCCTGTATTTTCAACTGCCTGGAGCCAAACTCAACATATTTTATTTTTCTTCTCAAAAACTTACTTCTCCTTCTAGTTTTTGTATTTCTACCAATAGTCTATTACCTAGTATAGTTCTATATTCATTTTACTATTTCATGCATTAATTTGATGCACATTAATAGGCTTCTGTTAAGGATCAGAGAATTTCCTGCTTCTGGGGATTTAATGATGAATAAGTTGGATTTCCTATCTTTATTTATAGCTTATATTTAGAAGTGGGTACAGGTTATAAAAGTAAACTGACAAAATAATTATGAATTGCAATAAATTTTTTCAAAGAAAGCAAAAGAGCAGATGGCTTGGGGATAAGATGGCAGGAGCTACTTTAGGTAGGGCAATCAAAAAAAGCTACTCTAAGGAGTTGATATTTAAGATGAAACCTATATGTGAGAAGGAGCTATTTCAAGGAGGGTGTGTGTGTGTGTGTGTGTGTGGCGGTATTTTTGGTGGGGAAAGCAATTGGAAGGACTAGAAGAGTGAAATAAGTCAGAGAAGGAAAAATACTTTGTGTTTTCACGTTTTTGCAGAATCTTAAAAAGCCAGAAGTGGGGGAGTAGAGAATTCTGGTTGCCAGAGTCTGGGGAGTTGGGGAAATGGGGAAATGCTGGTCAAGGAATACAAACTCCCAGCTGTCAGATGAGTCAGTTCTGGGGATCTAGTGCACAATGTGGTGGTCATCATTACCAATACTGTGTTATATACTTGAAAGTTTTTAAAAGAGTAAATCTTAAATGTCATCAACACACACACAAAATTATAATTACATATAGGGATGGAGATGTTAGCTGTGATAATCATTTTACAATATGTATATGTATTTAATTATCACATTGCATACCTTAAATTGACATATATTATATGTCAGTAATGTCTCAATAATGCTGGGGGGGGAATTAAGAAAAAGGAGGAATAGTGGGTACAAAGCCTTTGAAGGAGGAAAGAGCTTGGCAAGGAATAGAAGAAAGCCTGGTGTGGCTGACATAGAGAGAGAGGCTGAGATGAGTAAAAGAGGTTATAGAAAAATTCAGGCTTTGAAGGGTTTGGCAAGTAGTTTGTTTTGTTCTTAAATGATACCATCATTTCAGCTACTGTGTGAGGAATGGCTAGCTGGGGTGGAAGTAAAAGCTGGCAGTTTTAGGAGCTAAGGTGAGAGATGGTGGTACCCTGATAAGATGCTTGCAACAAGAGAGAGATGGATGGGTTTGAGATGCTTTTTTTTTTTTTCAGTCAAAATTTAATGGACTTGTGGATATTTGGGGCATGGAAAGAGAGGACACAATCAAGGATGACTCTGTGATTTTTGGTTTTGAGCAGCTGGGTGGACAATCCTTTTAGGTAGCTATCTTTCCCATTATCTCAAGAGTTTGTTATTTCACCAAAAGGGAAATTAATTATAATGCTACAAATAACATTAGTGCTGGAAATAAAAGCACCTGACAGATTTGAAATGTACTAGTTAATGCTTTATTTTTCTTTTTCCTCTGAAATTTAACTTATATGACTGAATTAATTATGAATTTAATTTCATTTTCTTTCATTTTTCATGAAAGACTTCAGAATCTTTCTGGAAGTGAAATAAGTACGTATACTTTTATACTCTATATTAAGCCTTCTCCCCCATGCTCTCTCTTTAAAAGAGATAAGTCTTTTGAAATCTTAAGCCAGTCTGAAATCTTTGCAGACTGTTACCCAAAGTTCTGATGTATAACTTTATTGTTATTTTATTTTGCAGATTCTGGAGCATCCTACCCTTAGGTTATATCATACTGAGCTCACTGGAAAGGATTTAGCTTGTCTGAACAGTTAGGAGGTTCATTTGTTTACGTTTTGTTTTTCTGGTTTCATCATCAGAGCATATTTATATTCAGCCTTGTAGAACTGATATTTTGGGTACAAACTGAAAAAGTTTTTAATTCAATAGAAATTGAATAGATATTAAAGTAGATCTTCCCAATTCTGTGTTACTTAGTTTTTTTAAATTAGTAGTCATATTTTTTGTTTTTTTGCTGAAGAACTTTTCTGATGTTAAGAGTGAGTTAATATTTATTGTTTGTGCTCTATGTGACAAGCATTTGGCTAGCTGTTTTAAACACTATATTTTATCCTTACAACAGTCCTGTGAGTTTTTCCACTTTGTACATGGTTATCATTTGCGTTTTAGAGCTGAGAAGAAGTAGTTGAGTAATAGGATTTGTAGCTGGAAAGTTATCTCAGGGATCATCCCCTTCCTCCTCTTTCAGCTGAGCCCTGCAGAGGTTCCATGACCTGCCCAAGGTCATGCAGTTGGTTTTCACGTTGCTGAGACCAGTGCTGCCTTTACTCCTTATGCTTCCCTCAAGCCGGCCTCCTCTCACGCTGTCTTCCCCCTCCAATATTTCATTTTGAAAACGGTCAGTGCTACAGAAAAAATGAAAAATTCTGGACAGTGAACACCCATATTACCTTTCAACTGTATTCACTATTAACATTTTGCTACATTTTCTCTCTCTTTATATGTTTATATAGTTTTAAAACCACTTGAAATTACATTAATGATATATATTGTATTTATATTATGATATATAAATATATAATATAATGTAAGTATTAAAGCATGCATATCCTAAGTTTATGGGTAATTTCCTACATGATTCAAAGTCAATATCTATATAAGAAAATTAACATTAATAGAAGAATATGTTTAATATAATGGTCCATATTAAAATCTCCCCAGTTGTCCCTAAAAAAAGTGTTTGGGGTTTTTGGATTCAGGATTCAATAAGGTTTCACGTATTGCATTTATCCTTATGTCTCTCTTTATTCTCTTTTAATCTTGAAGAGTCCCCACCTCTTTTTGTTTTTCATGATCTGTATTTTCATTTAAAAGATATAGTTTGTGTATACTTAATGTCTTTTTTGAGAACTACTTGGTTTCTTACAACATTGTTCATCTAAAACTTATTTTCAATTTCCTTTTTCCTTCCAGTTCTCTGAGGTTGCTAGAGATAAAATTGTTTATTACTAGCTTTTTTAAAAAGAAAACATTATTCCAACTTTAACTTTGGCTGAGGTTTTTACATTTGGTTGCATCAAGTTAAAGATCAAAAAAAAAAACCAAACAAAATAGGAGATTTATGTTGTAGTCAACCCACTGGCACTAGTTTGGCAGTTGAAATTCATTTAAAACAGAAGTCTGTAGGAGTTACTCCCCCATGCACCATGCCCCACCCCCACCTTCTAACCAGGAATATGTATATGGTCGCTGTGTATATTATAAAGCTGTAGCAATCTAAGCCTTCATCTTTGAAAAATGCACAATTCCAAGTGGGAAGTAGATGAAAATTCAAATGATACATAAGCAAGTTAGAAGAGGCAGCTGGAGCTCGGCACTATGAGAGAAGGTGTAAGTGCCTGCTCTCTCTTGTCCTTGTGTAGAGTTGGCATTTAGTGAGTGTTCTCTTTCTTCTTTCCTTGCTTCCTTTTGAGCTTCACACATTTGGTTGGCTTTCTTTGAGAATTACATGGCATTTAGGAACAAGTGGAGTTTTGTGGGGAGGAAGTAGGAGGTAAGTTCTAAGCAGTATTTTCAAAGTGGGGAGACTCATTTTGGTTGAGAGGGAAGCAAGAAAGTGCCAGTGAGGAAGGGACTACTCTGGAGGTTTTAGGGAAGTCTGTGAAGGCTTTTCCTTCCCTTTACTTTAGCCAGGGTTAGATTATACTTCTATGTTCTTACTGCACTTTGCACAAGGATTCCTTAGAGCAGTTACTATTATGTGTTAGAACTTTTCTTTTTCTCTAATAAGCTCCCTGAGTTTGCAACCAGCACTTTTTAATCTCTGTGTACTCAGGACCTCACTCAGTGCACATTTAAGAAGTATTTATTGGGTGAATAAATGAATGAATAAAAGGCTTTTACTGAGTCATCCAGCAAAAAGACAAAGATTCCTTTCCTGGGCAACCGCAGTAATGGTTTGACCTGCGGTTAGACCAATTTATTGTTGAGGTGTTGAATCAGAACTAGAATTGGTTCAGGTAAAACCTGAAAAAATGAGGGAATAGAGAAGAGTGAGACTTTTGGATCAGGAGTCTAGGATATGGAACAGGGATGAAATTGTTCAGAGGAAACCAGAAGCATTCTATGAGAGGGGCCAAGATTCTGTTACACAGATAAAACTGGGGGATTTTTCTGTCTCATAATATAAGTACTTTTGTCATTTTCTGAATAAAAATAAATCATGTATATTTGGAGGAGAAGTAAATTTTAGTGTTAGGCATTCTGCCTGTGAAATTTGATTTTTTATCTTCTTACTGGGGGGTCTTTTCTTTATACCTTTTTTAACATTATAAAATAAAGATATCCTTCTTATAAAAATACAAACTAGAGATACATAAAGTAAAAATGGCATTCTTCCCAGTATTCTGACAATCACTCTTCAGTGGTAGCTAATGTTAAAAGTTTGATGTGTGTCAATTTGGATTTTTAAAATATATACAGTTATCCCTTGGTGTCTGTGAGGGGTACCACTGATCCAGGATCCTCTGCTAATAGCGAAATCTGAGGATGTTCAAGCCTCTTGTTATAAAATGATGTAGTATTTGTATTTGGCCCATGCACATCCTCCCATAGACAGGCATGCCTCAGAGATACTGTGGTTTGGTACCAGGACACTGCAATAAAGT